ATATTCGGAAAGAATAAACCAGTTTTATTAAGTAAGGACTTGTGTCGCTAAAGTTTCGGGAACGAATTTACGGGAAATCAATTAACAAACGGAGACATAACAATAACATAAGATATGTAACCCACTTGTTTTTTCAGATATACATCACTTGTGTCTATATAATGGTGTGTCTAGTGTTTTATCGATAATCGGTTTGGGAATTGGACTGATTACTGCATAATCGGGCAATAATTGGAATTGGTAGAATTTGTCAAATTTCCCAATCATGGAAGAACAATTGCAAGAAATTTAAATATAACACCACCCAGACCATTCGCAACAACAATCTTATTAATGCTTACAATCACAACCTTGTATATTTCCTTTTTCTTTCAACACAAAACATTATTTACCACAGAATAAAATATCATCAGTTAAAACAATCTTCATCTATTTCTCATTTATTTACATAAGTTGATACCCTGAACAAAAGAAAGGTTAAAAATCAATGCTCTACACATCGTGAAGCACACCCATTTCTATATTAACCATACAATAGCAAATGGTTGATAACAGCCCCCTATGCACAGAGCTAATACACACTGTGTGCTTGTCAGATTTCTGTGTGGACTTTTCCCCGAAGTTCTCAGGATAATACACCATGTGGCTCTCCGTTAGTACCACACTGTGGTTTTCCAGTTTTATGCTCAGTTTACCAGTTCTTAGAGATAAAAAAATTGGTTTGCTCTTTTTACAATGTCTGTCTTGCAGCACTGGTCATTCCTCAAGTTCACACCAAGAGAAAAACAATTAACTCTTATTATTATTGTACCTTCCAAACTGTAATGACCTACAATTGTTTTTTGGAAAGGTTAATATGGAGTGTGGCTTCATTCTCAGCACAACAAAGCCACATACAATATAGTATACAGTTAACCCTGTAACAACAATTTGTTTACAAGTTGAAGTTTGAACATGGATGTTCTATGAATCACAAACATTCTCGCCATGTGCATACCGAGCTTATGCATCATGGTACATACACTGACAATCCTCAGCATACACCATGTGTATGTAGCCTACATTACATGGAGGCTTTAGAATCATGCCGCATTACAAACGAAAACTTTCAAAGGCTGTCACTTGATTTGACGTTTGGTTGGAATACTTTGGTTTAAAAAGTGGTTTAGTTCAAAATGTGTAGAGTGATAGCAAAAGTCTTCAAATTTATGGCTGAAGTGAATGATGAATTTGGGCAATATACTTCAACAATTTGATAGTCTCTCACAATGATTACATAGCATTATGTATCAATCATGTACTAGCCAGAAGGTCAGTCCCAATTTTTATTTTTCACTTGTTTAAATGGGACATTTATTGATAACTTCAGCCATTTTAAATTTAATGAAGCTTCAAAGTACACTTTCTTACAATTATTAAGGTTAAACTGTTAACAATACCTCACAATGAAATCAACAATTTTACTGTACATAATCAGAATGGGCAATTGTACACTATAATAATTGGCAGTCAGTGATTTCTGATTGTGACATGATCGGTAAAACAATAGGCATGTCATTGTTCTTCAATCAAAACGGTATCTTGTCCTACAAACATACCAGCTAACTCTTTTGCCTGTGTTAAATTCTGATTGTTAGCACAGTCCTCTACTAGAAACTTCTGGTGCTCAGAAAGCTATGCACTGATTTTTAGGAAAGATGCAGAGGATGTCACATTAGATGCCAATTGATTATTTGCATCACTTATGCTTGTCATCAATCTTCCATCTGAATGTCACTTGTGTCAAAAAGTTCTGTATTGCAAAATAAAATTAATATTGCCATAACTAGTGATCAGAAAAGACACAGTTGAAGTAGTGACTTTTTCCTTTATGTTCTTTACATCTTTATCCTTTTCCTGATGGGTCACAGGTCAAAGGCCATGTCATCGCGTTTGTTGACTCGCATTCAAAATTTATTGAACTACTATTTTATGAATGTATATCAATAAGTTTGGTATCAAATTGTAGATTATAATTTAAATTTAGGTATGATTTATTAGTTTGTTTCTTGATTTAAAAGTAAATATTAAAAAGAAATCCTAAATATCGATTTTTGTGTGTCACATGGTATGTTGAGTTCAAATTAGATGTTTGTGATGTCCAAGTACAAAGTCTATAGTTTATTATGAATTAGGTACTCAAATTACTGATATTGACAAGCTAAAATATCAAATAAGAATCTCTTATATTGTTTATTTGCTGAGATAACGATACATGTACTGAACAAACATATTATCCCCGCTCACCTCTTTTCTCAGCATAACTGAAGTATTCAGCACCAAACTCATTCTTTTAAAGCTTAGATTCAAAAAAGTAAGGTGAGACTTTAGTAAGCTCAAAATTTCATATTTTTTAGACCCAAATACTGCTTAGTTACTAAGTTTGTTAAATTATAGTGGAATTCTGTGGTATTGATATAGTAATTTATGCTTTTTGGTTACTTCAAAATGTATATATAAAACCTAAAAAAAATATTTCATTTCACATCCTTCACATGCAAAAATTGGTGAGGCTTAGCAAATGAGTACAAAGGCCGAAACTGGAAGATGTAAATATGTTTCTATAATTCTTTATTTACTGTTCCATGTTTTAAGAAAAATA